CGTATAGCTCGCTAAATTATGCAAAAAAAATTTGGGCCAGATTAGAATCGTGCCAACTTTACTCTGCCAGGCATTTGAGGCTAATTAGCATGATCGGAAAATTCACATTGTATGATTTGGACTCTCTAGAATCAGCTGACAGCTGGGGTGATATATTTAAATATAGTCACATTTTTCCCCTTTTCTGATCATATTCAACTTGCCATTTTATTAGACAGACGAAATGCTCACCTGTTGATATTTCAACCTTTTTCGACTGAATGCGCTTCTTTTTCTTTCGGTGAACGTTATTTCCTACTCCATTTCTGGCTGTGCTTTTCCTCTTGGATTAAGTACTACTTCAAAATTAGAACCTTATCCTGGTATTTCCCGGAGTTAATGCCTCCCTATTTCAACACCAAACATCTTTCCTTAATTTAGAAAAACCCATTTCTTTTAATGAAATATTCAATCCTTGAAATTGTCGCTGAACTTTGTAGACGCTTTGATGTGGACATTCACGAACGAGTTTTTCCCTTGATTATCACCTTAATAATTAAATCTTGTACACATTGAAGACTTAAGGAAGAAAGTACCTTTAGACTTGTCAAGGCTTGGCATATTCCTTAGTATGACGTCAGCGTAAACTTGACTTCTTACGTTAGCGTGTGAGATGCCAATTTAATTTTAATATGACAGGGCCGGGCCCCCTCTCAGTGACTTCAGTCAAATCGTTATCCTTAAATCGCTCTGTATGTGAGATCTTTTCATCTATTTTGCCAATTGCAGTATTTCCAAGTCTGTGTTGAGGCGAGGGAGGAGGAGGAGCGGGGTGGGGGGGGGGGCGGGAAACAGACACTGTCATTTAGAAACTCCTCAATCCACCACCGTATAAATCAGTACTATTGTGTAAGTGCTATTCAGGGTGATGATAATTATAGTCGTATCTCCTCTAATCCTTTTACTTATATCATGCGTTGGATCCTGTTTGCCTCTGTTTGGAATGATTATTTAACATGCACTGAAATCCATCATTTGATCTTTCTCGTGATCTAACATCACAAGTCGCATATATTTTTGCAAATGTCAACGGCCAATTTTGAACTTTGTTTCTCACCTTAACTGCAGAATTCTATTAATGTAAGCGTTTATTTACAAACCGATAGAGTGAAATGTTAAGGTTCGCGCACTTTTCCACTTCAATGTCTATTCTGATTCCCTACTGCCAAATACGATTGGTTTACTTATATTGTATGTTTATTATGCCACACGTTGTGCGTTTGTTTTATAAGCGATATTCCTAGAACTTTGTGGTCTGTTAATAAACGTCTCTTGTTCTTATTCGAAGTTCCAGCATTCATAACTGCTTGAAATCTTTGCATAAATGGGGAAGAATGTATTAGAATGAATAATATAATGTCATTTTGTCATAAGAATGCGTTATATTTTGAATTGGATTTATTTCTGATTGAAGTAAAAAAGGTTTCAAGGTTTATCAAGAAAGCAATTTGGATTGTAATCCTCCTAGTCTTTTATAGTAGTAGCCTATCATTACAAACCAAGGTAGTTCCAATCCCTAACTATTTCATTCCTGTTAAAGTTTGTGTTCCAAGTGATCATTACTAGAACTTTCTGCGTAAATTTCATATCACTCTAAGTTCTCGCTTACGTAAACACGCGGATTGGATAAGTTAATAAAACTGAGGTCTGGAAAGCCAAAATTTGTTTATTTCTTCTTAAGAAAGTGGGATCCAACCATCCATTCCTAGTGGAAGAGAAAAATTCTGTTCAGGTGCTTTTGTAATATTCCAATCGACTTCCTACCTATTAAGACGCGTTAGGAATCCCAATTGCGCAATCAACTTATACATCCATTTGACTCTATTGTGTCCTGACGCTAGATGCACCTCCTTTTCCCATGGAATATTTCTCTTATAAGATACATTTTGAAATCTTGCTTGAAGTTCCCGATTCCAGTTAATTCTTTTATTGCAGCACTTTGAGGGTTTTCTAGCAGATGAACTTTATAGATCTCCTTAAACCTAGTCATATCTGCTTATGCTGATCAATTTGTGAACATCATGTTTATTGCTTCTAAGATTGGTTGATCGGAAAATAGCTCCATTATATAAGCTACAAGCACACAATTATTTTATTTATGTAATCAGCTGATAGATTATTTATACGCATGCATGTTCTAACCAATGAACTTGACTATTTTAGCGCTTTTACCATTGAGAAGTCCATTTATTTTCAGGGTAATACTAATCAATAATCGATACCAATAATTATCAGTATTTTCGATATGAAAAGTGGATTTTGGTATCTTCATTATCTGAACTTATTACATCGCAACTACCTTGTATTTAAGGAGATGAATAATTTTTCCACGTAGTTTTAAGGCGTCCTTTTTAACTAATCGATTTCAAACACAGAACCTCCTATTCTTTTAATTCATAATGTTTATTTTATCTATTTATATCAAATGCCAGGTGTTTTGATAGTTATCATAAGCCCTTTTGTTGACATCAGGCTTCACAGAGGGGAAGGAACATCAATGTGAAAAAGTCGTGATGGGGGGGGGGGACAGATGAGTGTTTCAAAGATGTAAAAGAGACAGGCACAAAGGTAGAAAAAAGGTGAAGTGAGTACTGTGAAATGATCGAATATGACACGGAGTCAGGTCATGGTAGTTTGAAGTCAGAAGACAAATGCCGGTTAATAGACTTTTTTTGCCGTATGAGTATACGTTCCCACCGATTAATGGACTTTTTTGCCGTATGAGTATACGTTGCCCAGGGGTTTTTTGCCGTATGAGTATACGTTGCCCAAGGTGCACCACATTTTTGCTGTATGAGTATACGTTGCCCAGGGTGCACCCGGACTCTTTTGCCGTGTATACGTTGCCCAGGGTGCACCACGTAGAGGTAAGTTTTGTCTCGGAAAAATAATAGATAGGAGCTTCCTTTTGGCATCAAACAAACTAGAACCAAAGCAGAGAATTGGCACCTATAAAGCAGTCTAGTTATCCTTTCATGGAAATTATTACAATTGTCTTGAAAATTAGTATTGAACGAAAATAACATCTTCAATTATTCGGAATATGTAAATAACAAAGTGGTGAAAATTGCAACCCGAGTTACAAAGATGAAATTTGAATTTCACTAAAAACAGTTTTATGTTTCCCCTCCATCACCATCTACTATATCTTTATATCCAAATCATGTTGATTGCTCTTTTTGTTTAACCAAATAGACTTAATAGGATATTATTCCTGTGTGTGTGTGTGTGTGTGTGTGTGTGTGTTGAATTGACAAAATGAACACACTCATACAAGGCGAGTCTTGCAAATTAGTTAGAATTTTTTTGCAAGTGTCATGACTTTCCATTTTGTGACCATGGTAACCGTTTAGGCATGATAAATCTGAATTCTTATTCACTTAGAGGGGTTTTCGATGATATGGGTGTTTTCTGACCCACTCTTGAAACTTATGACAGCCACTTTATTTTAAAATTAAATCTACTTTATGGTCCGTTGTTTTAGGCGTGCCTCTCCTTTCCCTAGGGAATCGGATGTCTTCAAATATTTGCGCTCTTTTCTATATAATATAATTTTTTGTGGCAATTAAAAGTGTTAACGTTTTAGCTGTTTTTAATGTATTTATTTATTTATATCAAATGGCAGGCGTTTTGATAGTTATCATTAGACCTTTAGTTGACTTCGGGGCTTCACAGAGAGAGGGAACACCAAAGTGACAAAAAGTCGAGAGGGGGAACAGAAGAGTGATTCACAGATGTAAAAGAAACAAAAAGACACAAAGACTCAGAAATGGTATGATGAGTACTGTGAAAGGGGTCGAATATGACAAATAGTCGGGCCATAGTAGTTAAGATGAGTACTGTGAAGGGGTCGAATATGACAAATAGTCGGGCCATAGTAGTTTGAATTCGAGAAGTCAACTGGCGATCAATAGACTTTTTTGCCGTATAATCTGTGGATGGGGCCGAATATGACAAATAGTCGTGCCATAGTAGTTTGAAGTCAACGATCAATAGACTTTTTGCCGTATAAGTATACGTTGTCCAGGGTGCACCACGTGGAGGTAAGTCTAATATACGTTGTCCAGGGTGCACCACGTGGAGGTAAGTCTATTGCGCACCCCAACTTTTTAATTGTAAAATGGTATAAATATATCTGTGCTTATCTCTTCATTAAACATGTTCGTTTCTATTAGGCCAATAAGCACTATGCTAGTCAGAGAATCGAATGCTTTATGTCTTTAAGATTTCCACGTTTTGGTAAGGGAATAAGGTACTTAAATGTCCCCTTTTTATAGATAGTGCAGCATTGCATTGATTGTCAGTATCGCTAATGTCATTCTGACAGATGATGCTTAGTATATACAAGGAGCTGTCAAAATTCTCGTGAACATAATCAATCTTTTGCCAAATAGCACTCTTTAACGAACTTGCTTTTGCTTGCTGTTCTATTTATAAAATTTGAACGAGGTCAATTTTTTGCTCTGTACTTTTCTTTTGTGATATCGTTTTATTTTTCAATAGATTGTTTTCTTCATTCTTCACAAGTAAACCTATAACAATCATAGAGGCAGTGAACGCTCAATAATTGCATCATTCACGGGTAATTGAATTTCCATGATAGCTTTTCTTTTAAAAATGACATTTTTCTTCAATGAACGCAGTTTAGAGTTTGTAAGGCATATCTATTTCTGAAAAAAAAAACATTCACTTTCTGGCTCCTATTGCCTAATTTTGATCCAGAACATCATCTTCAACCAAAAAAATGACAAGATTGTCACCCCTTAAAATCAGGAGATCTTACCCGCAGATTATTATTCCTTGATTTATATTCATGCAAAGCGCTCTTCATCGTACACGATGTCGTAAATTAAAAGATGGTTTTCTAATTTAATCACTTCATTCTCCCTTAAAATGGGAGGATTGATGTTGTGGGCAATGTACGCACCGATTGTCAACTTCTCTCTACTCTTATTTTGCAGATGGGAAAACTTCCAACGCCTGATTTCATGGCCAAAAAGTTGCAGGATTTGCCCATCGGAACAATGGAGAATGTGGTGTGTGTAGGCACAGATTGGCCTCTTCATCGTGTCCTCACTGTCTTCATTGAAAACCGCGTCTCCGCCCTCCCGGTGGTGGATGAAAATAATTGCCTTGTTGATATCTATGCAAAGTTCGATGTGATTGTAAGTGCACAATCATTTTTTGCTCCTCTATCATGGGCTCTTTGAATTTCCACTTTCTTCCATAGAAGGTGGTTGTCAACGAAGGCTAAAACTTTTACTATTATTAAATAATTGGCAATGAGTTAAGAACTCATTCGTTTACATTCTGTTTAGATTATTTTATTGGATTCAAATTTTTCCCATTTTTTATTTTATATCCCTTTTCGTTGTCAAACCAGCGTCTCACTAGTATTAAGTTCCAATAGAGGAGGGGGGAGGGAGGGAGGGATAATCTGTAACTTGCACGATCGTTCCTTTTCACTTAATTAGTATATATATGAAATTCATTAACTGCAAATTTTCAGTCCCAGGTGTCACGCAACAGGCCATGGGCGCGATAGCAATCAAGGTTGCACCCAGCGGTTGGTAATAAAATGCACACCGATTAAATTTGTCACAGAGATTTGACCAAGGATGTGCAATAGTAGTGAAATGAATTTCAATCGTAGAACTTTAAGGAATTATGCTCCTGACCCCATTTTATTACCTTTATGACCATTGTCTCAACTGAAATCTACCAGCCTTCATTGAAGAATATATAGTAGTGGAGATTACATGCGATCATTGCAAATTCACCTATTCGTGTAAGCATTTGCAGGTATCATTAATCGCACCTGGATAGCAAGCTATTCGTGATTTACTTGTTGGATGTAGCCATGCGCCTTCGGGTGTACAAGATAGCTTCATCAGTCTTCGATTTTATCTCTCTTGAGCTTAGCACTAACTTGTTGTTAATTATATTCACCTTTTTTACTTTAAAAGTGGTGCATACTTAAAAATTGAGTACTAATTTACTGCACTACCTTAATTCCCCTTTGACGGTTGGGTGTTTATTTTGGAAGAGTGCATTGTCAACTTAAGTCATGAGGTAAAACATTTCTTTTATGTATGCACTTTTCATGTTTTGATCTATCTTCAAATTGCATTGACGCAGTGATTTTGTTGCAAAAAATTCCTATGATGTGTGATAGAATCGATCATCACATGTACTTGCTAAAGCACTTCTACGACCTCCCCTGAATCGACATTTGTTAAATAATGTAAGATCTGTGAGCTCTATCCGAAGTTCCCGTCGGAAAGCAGAATTCGGCGTTAGAACCCCTTTTTCATTGTCACATGTCACCCGAAATCAAATTTGGTATTGTTTCATATTTTTTTGTTAGATTTGCGTCATTCATTGCACTTGCTTCAATCACACTATATGCATTATATATATATATA